CGTGTGCCTTGGCAGTCTCAGACGACGGCTGCCCCGTTCCGTCTCGTCCTGCACTGCCACGGGCCCTGCTGAGGGGACTCGGGATCGTCGACCCTCCTTGGCAGACGCGAGGCTGCTGACGGGCTGGACGGTCGGCGGCTGCGACGATGGACGTTCCGCCGTCTCGTCATGCGAGGCTTTCCTAGGCTTGACGAATTCTCGTACCGGCTTGCTCTGTCGCGGCTCAGCCGAGTCGGCGTCTACGTCCTTTCTGCGGCTCTGCTGCTCTTGCTGCTGCTGCCTCTTCTTGGGCTTGCTGCTCGGCTTGCTGGCGGGAAGGGCAGGCTCAGCCTCTGCGTCGTCGGCCGCTGCCTTCTTCTTCTTCTCGGCCTCCGCCTCGGCCATGGCGACCTCAACTTCGACCTCGGGAGCGAGCATCGGCGCGCGGAACGTGTACTCCTCGGGTGCGGTCAGCTCCGAGTAGAAGCTGCCCATCGTGGCGCTGCTGTCCTGCCTCTTGAGCCTTCTGCTGTTGCCGCCGGCGGGCTTGGATGCTGGCGCCACCTCGGCAAGGTAGCTCGAAGCGGCCCTGCTGAGCGCGGAGCTCTCTTCGCCGAAAGAGACCTCGACCGACTCCTCTTCGACCGGCGCCTGGGCAGTCATGGCCCCGTCACGCGGCTCCTGCCTCTCCCTGCGACGGCTGTTCTGGGCCACGGAGGTCGCCTTGACCGCCGACGAGGCTTTCACCTTCTTCGCTGCCTTGTCGCCATGGCGTCGAGATCGTGAGAGAGCAGGCTCGGCGTCGAACAGCGACGAGAGGTTGGTCGAGGCGCCCGTGCTCAGCGCGGCCGAAGAGCGGACCGAGAGCCGGGTGCGGCTGCTGAGGACGCTCGAAGCGTTGGATCGCTGGCGATCCTGGTACACGGGCCTCCTGCCCGTCGCGCTGCTGTAGCCGCTCTTGGCCGCCTTCTTGGCAGCAGGTCGCACAGCCCTTGCTCGCAAGCTGCTGTCCTCGGAAGCCTGCCTGGCGGCCTTGGGCCTGTGGCGCTTGCGGTCCTCGACCACTCGAACCTCGGCCATCGGCGGCTCGGCGTCGCTCGCCGACTCGCTGCGAAGGGAGACTGGGCGAGTTTTCTCGACATCGACGTCCGAGGCGAACGGGTCCCGCCCGTCGTCGCCATCGACGTCTTCCCAGCACCCGTCTTCGTGCGACTTGAGGCCGTGCGTCGTCGACACCTGGCCCGGCTCGAGCCAGCTCGACAGCGTCGTCGTCGCCGCAAATTGCGGTCGGATGCTTGGCACCCGGCTGACCTGCTCGTCGCTGCCGTGCAGGCCACCGTGGTGGGGCTTATCGAGGGTAGCGCCCTTGCCCTCGTACAGCGCCGAGAGGCCAGTGATCGAAGACCCTTCCGAGATCGACGAGACGTCCGACGTGGCACCGCTGCGGCAGCTAGCGCCGCGGTGCAGCCTGCCAGGACGGCCGCGCAGCGAGCCGCTGACGCTCGGCGGCGCGCTCGTGTAGGGGTCGTAGACGGGCTCGGCGTCGCGCGACGCCTCCTGCCAGCGGCTGACGGTGCTGAGCAGGCGCTGACGTCCATCGAGCTGGTGCCGCTGGCGGTGGTGGTGGATGAGGGCCAGCGCCTGGGTCTGTTGCAGCAGCTGGTGCGGCGCGGCCATCGGCTGGGCCTTCATGTAGGCCTCCCACTGCAACTGCTGCTCGAGGAGCGCACGCTGGTAGTCCATCGCGGGGAGCGGCAGCCTTGGGAAGGCGCTCGCACCGGCACCCAGCAGCGCCGCATCGTCACCCTGCTGCCTCAGGGCGGCTGCTTCGATCTCGGCCAGACGGCTGAGGCCGACGTGCCCGACCTCGGCCTGGCTGTTGGGCCAAGCCGCGCCGATGCCGGCGAGGCCAGGGGTGAAGTCGAGCCGCTGCCCAGGCGTCCCTCGCACCACCGGTCTTCCGCCGGGCGTGGCGAGCATGCCGCCAAACGCACCGGCATCGAGGCCGAGCGACTGGCCGAAACCCTCGGGACTGTGCTCCTCCTCGGTCGAGTACTCCATGGCGAAGCGCTCCGCCTTTTTGCCGATCCTCTTGGCCCGGGGCAGGTCACGGTCGCGTCCGCCGATGGTGCCCTCAAAGTCGCTGTCGTGGGCAGGGTGGCGAGCGCGGGAGGTGCTGGCGGCGTTGCGAAGCGTGGCTGGGATCATCGAGAGCACCGTGCGGCTGGCGTGGATCCCCATACCGGCGAAACGCGACGAGGCGGCCGCGCCGCCTCCGATCTTGGCCGAGCCCGGCTGGAACCGGGGCGTCTCGGTGCCGTAGCCGGGCAACGATCGGATGTTGGGGTACGATCCCTTCGAGGTGACGTGGCCGTTTCCGACGTTGTCGAGGTGGTCGAACGGCCCCCCCAACGCACCCGTAGTTCGAGGGTCGCATCGCTCAGCATCGAGGTCGTAGGCGGATCCGCGCTGCTTCATGACGCGCGCGATGAAGCTCGGTCGCCGCGCCGGCACCATACCGCGGCCGCCTTCGAGATCCGGCAGACCGTTGCCAAGCTGCCCGTCCTGCCCGTAGGGGAAGCTCGAGGCCTGGTCGGGCAGCTGCATGGCTCGGACCTCGAAGTCGTTGTCACCCGTCGCCTTGATCGGGTCGCCGCCGACAGGCCGGTCGAACAGACTCCACCCCCGTCCGTCCATCGAAGGCTTCGCACCCTGGCCCAGTTCGATCGCATTTGCGGCGTCGTTGCGGGCCTTGGCGCCGTCTCCCGAAGCGTACGAAGGAGGTCGCACAGACGCATCGGCCTCCTTTTCGGAGAGCAGGACGGGCATGGGCGTCGTCGGCATGCTCAGCACGCCGTCCTTGCCGTCCTTGAGGTCGAGATCAGGGTCGGCAAAGGCGTCCTGGGCCTTTTCGTCGCCGGCCTTGCTTGGGCTCCACACGGATTTGCTCAGTCGCTGGCGGCGGCGCTGACGACGGCTGCTTCTCCGTTCCCAGCCGCAGCAGCAGCGGAGGATGAACGCCAGACTCGTCACGATCGTGGCGAAGGCGACGATCGATCCGACAATGACGAGCAGCAGCATGGGAAGATTGTGTCGCAGGCTGAAGGGATGGTCCCCGAGCGGATCCTCGCGGGCGCGCGCCTCGAGCCGTGGTACGCCAGCCTGGTGGGCGTCGAGGGCGAGCCGGCTCGTCGAGGCACCGTCCTGGTCTTGAAGGTCCCACGGAGGGTCGGAACGCGCCGTCAAAGACTGGCGGGCAAGGTCGTCGTCGATTGCCCTCGCCTTGCCCTTCCAGACGGCAGGCGTCGCCTCGCCATCGATGCTGCGTGCCGGCAAAGGCCGGGCGAGGCGAGCGTAACGGTCCCGCTTCGGCAGGCCCTGCCTCGTGCCCCTCGCCGACCGCCTCTGCGCATCGCCGCCATCCTGCCTGTTGAGGCCAAATGAAAGCTTCATCCGGCACTAGATGTGCAAAGAGCCGACAGGAAGCACACCGTCAAGGCGTGTCACCTCGTCGAGCTTGGTCGCAATGGAAAGTAGGAAAAGAAAAGCGGGCTTGAAGAATAGAAATACCAGGCGCCAGGCCTGTTGACGACCACGTCGCTGTCGTCGTCGTCGTCGTCGTCGAAGAGAGAAAGGGAGTCGAAAGAAGGAAGAGAAGGGAAGAAGAGAAGAGTAGGACGGAACGAGGGTCAGGGAGGGTACCGGCCCCTTTTGAAAAGGTGATAAAGTGGCGGGATGGAGAAGGTGGATGAGGGTCGGGACGGTAGAGGGGAAGGGCGAGGCGTCGAGGAGCGACTCACGGTGCCACTCGCCGCTCGGTCCTGGCCTCGACAGACGTCCGTGCTTCTACAGTTGGTCTTGACCCCAGGCAGGGTAGACAATCTACGTGGTGCGAGACCTGCGACACACACCGGCACCTGCATCTGCTTGTCGCCCTCACTGCCTGCCCACTATGACGATCGACCAGCATGACGTCCACGCAGGCCCAGAGGTCAGCATGTGGTCGGTGGATTGCCGACCGGCGATGGGAGGCGCCCATCCGCAACGGGAGAGTAAAAGGAGGCGCTCTGGCTAGCGTCGTTGGACGAGGATCTACGGTCGTCGAGCTCGCCGGTGCCAGCAAAGGTCGAATGGCAAGCGGCGAGCGTCGAGGAGCATGCGAATGGGAAGCTGTGTCGAAAGTGGCAGGCGGTGATGGAGCGCAATGGACGCGACGCGAAGAGGCAAGGCCAGGCTTGGCACAGGGCAGGCGTGGCGCAGCGCAAGCTCGAGCAAGGCCGGTCACGGCAGCAATCGACAGTGGAGGGCCGATCCACATGATGGTCTGGATACCCACCATGATCGACCGACACAGGCCCTGCCTTGCCGGCCTGGAGTCGAGGTCGGGCCCGCCTTGTTCGAGGGGTGATGCTCACGGCCGAGACGCCAGCTCCGCTCGCCTTTCGGCTCCGATGGCGGGCTTGGTGGAGCTGCTGCAGTGGCATGGTGATGCTGTGCTCGGTGTTGGCAATATCCCCTGCCATCTTTGTGGCCTCGAGGCGTGTTGAACGTTGTGGGCGAGGTGGCCAAGCAGCAACTTGGCTTCGCCAGCGCCACAGGTGGAGGAAATGGGACGGCGACGGCAGGCAGGCAGGCAAGGCAGACCAACACACCCGCGCGCGCTGCCCGGCCGCCCTCTTCTTGGCTTCTCAAACACCACCACCATCGCCCTTTCCCTCCCGGCACTGCGATAGCGCCGCAACATCGTCGACTTCGCAACGCAAACATGGCTTCAGAGCTGTGGACGCTCGGTGGGTTCTAGCACACCACTTCGCACGCAACAGAGGCCAGAACGCACTCGAGCTGACACTCTTGACCCTTGTCGGCCACACCTGGCCCCTCCGGCGCTGACCGCAGCCGTCGTCCTTCTATCGCCCATCGTCCTGCGCAGGGGTTTCGCGTACGTCAACCGCCCCGCCAACCAACAGGCCAAGGATGCTAGCAACGTAGACCAAGCCAACGACATGTCCGCCATGCGACGCCCCTCAGCTTGGAGCTCGCCCTTTCAGCTCCTCCTCACCCTCCTCACCGCGGCCGTCGTCCTCACCAGCGTCCGCAACCTCGTCCCCGTGCGGTACGGCTTCGAGCTCCTCGTTTCGGAGCACCTCATAGAGACGCTGCAGCGTGCCTTCTTGGCCCTCTACGCCTCGCCCACCACGGTGGCCAACACCGCCACTGCCGTCGAGCCCCTCCGCATCGAGCTACGCGGCGGCTACGCCTCCGACATCTTCCTCGCCCTCAGATCGCCCATCACCATCCCCACGGCAACCCTGCGCTCCCTCCTCGCCTCGACTCCCTCTCTGCTTGGCCTCGGCTTCCAGGGCACCGAGGCCGATCTCCAGTCCCTGGTCGCCCGGCTCTCGAGCTACGATGGACGCAAGCTCTACCTCCTCGTCGGAGCCACGCCCCTCACCCAGTGCGTCTTCTGCCACAGCAGCACCGACTACTTCTACTTTGCCCTGCCCGGCCTCGTCGCCCAGTATGCCTGGCGCCTCCTCGCCATCGGCTTCATCACTTCGAGCCCCTCGGATCCGCTGGGTCTCCTCGTCAACCGCATCGGCCGCCTTCTATCGCTCCGTTCTTCGAGCGCGACGTCGCTCCCCGCGCACCAGCAAAGGCCGCAAGAGCTCGACCGCAAGCGCTGGAGAGGCTACGCAACTGCGACGCTGCTCGGCATGCTGGCCATCGAGGCCCTCGTCCTGTCCGAGCTGGGCGAAGTGCGTGCCGGCCAAGGCAGATGGAACCACTGGCACGCCAACCTCCACCTCGCGAGGCAGCTCCTCTTCATCGTCCTCTTCGCCGGCGTCTACTTCTTCCCCCTCCACCCCAAGCCATCCGCCTTTGAGCGGACTGCCGCGACGATGCGGGCCACCCACGCCAGGCTGGAAAAGACGCTGCACAATATCGAGGTGGCCCGGATCACCCGCGAGGTCGTCTGGCGCGATCCGGGCATGGTACGCAAGGTCGCCGACTGGCACGCGCAGCAGGAGAGCGAAGACACGCGCCCCGACTGCGACGCCATGGTCGCCTTCGCCCGCAAGGTCGGCATCGATGTCAAAAGCATGGCCGACGCCTGTGGCGAGATCGCAAATACTGCGTTTCAGGAGGCGGAGGGCTTCAACAGAGAGCTCGACCAACGCGACCTGGCCGAGCAGCTCGAGCGATCTGACAAGCAGAGCCAGTCAATCCCGCCGCCGGCTTCGTCAAGCGCGGAAGCCCGACAGGCAGACGCTGAACCTGGCCCAGCGATTCGGGCCACAGAGACGAGCGGTGACCCGCCGGTCAACTCGCCGAAGGCGGACGCGGAGGCCGCTACATAGCGCTTCGCTTCCGCCTCCGCATCTCCCGGACCCAGCAGGACCCCAGCCTAGGGAAAAGCATGTTGTATTCTTTCGCCCTTGACCGACCTCGTGCGGAACGCCATCCCTTCCGCCCCCAGCAGCATCCGCGCCCGCGCTCTCCGTCTGCGACTGTTTGCCTGCGTGTCGAGCCGCCTCTCCAGCGGTCCCAGCGGTCTATCCCGCCCGCCCGCCTTGTGTGCCATTCATTCAGTGTTGCTGGTCGAGGGCGCCGCTTCCGCCCTGCCCCTTGCTCGCGGCCTGTATAAAGGGAGGCGAAGCTGACCCGCTGATCCCACCGCCCTTTCTTCTCACGCCCCCACCCTCCTCATCCTTTCATCGGCATCCATCGCAACCCTGCCACCTTTATTAACTCGCAGCCATCATTCCACAGCACCGCCTCAAGATGAACGATTCGAGCAGCGAGCAGAGCATCTTCGACTGCCAGCGCGGTGGCAGCGTCGACATGCCTGACTCGGACACCAGTGGCGAGGACGCCGACTGGCGCCCCACGATGGGAGCCACCGAGTTCGGCGCGATCTCGAATCGCCTCCTCGACATCGGCCAGCGCGTCGAAGCCCTCAACCAGCTCGCTCAAGCCTCGAATCCAGGAACAAAGCATGGGACCGACAAGGTCGCTTCGTCGCCGTCCCTCCAGCCCGTGATCCGTCTGCCACGGCTGGCGCTGCTCGGCAACCAGTCGGTCGGCAAGAGCAGCCTGGTCGAGGTCATCTCGGGCGTCACGCTGCCCCGCAGCATGGGCACCTGCACCCGCGGGCCGATCGACATCACCACGCGCCAGCCCGACCGCGAAGAGGTCGAGCGTGGCGTGACGCCTTGGTTTGCCCGCGTCACGCTCAAGCTCAAGAGTGCCCCGGGCCGCCCGGTCGCCTTTGGCGACGACATTCACGACCAGCGCGCCGTCGCCGGTCGTATCCGCCGGGCCTCGCTGGCGCTGCGCGAGATCTGCAGCGGCAGCAGGGCCGGCGACAATCTGGAGCGCTTCCTCCATGCCTCGGACGACGAGCTCGACGAGCTCGAGGACCAGCCTGATCGACCGACGTTTTTCACCGACCGGATTGGCGTCGAGGTTGTGGGCGTGCACCTGGCGCCGCTTCGCTTTACCGACCTACCTGGACTCGTGCACAACGCCGACGAGGACGACATCCTCACCATCAAGCGCATGGTCGAGGACGAGATCTCCGACCCAGACTGCCTCATCGTGCTCTGCGTCTCGCTTGCCGTCGACATCGCGACACAGAGCGCCTTTCGCACGGCGGCGAGCAAGGATGCAGACGGCGCGAGGACGATTGGCGTCTTCACCATGCCGGACCGCATGCAGGCCGACAGCTGGCGTCAGTGGGTGCCCGTCGTCGAGGGCAAAGGCAGGAACCTCAAGCGCCTGCTGCACGGCTGGCACGTCATCCGCTGCCCCTCGCCCGGCGAGGACGCGTCGGCGACGCTGGCCGACAAGCTCGCCGCCGAGCGCCGCTTTTTCGCGCAGACCTCGACCGCCTTCCGCGAGCTGTGCGCGCAGCTCGAGCCCGACTTTGCCGCAACGAGGTGCGGCATCGATCGCCTGACGAGCTTCCTCAGCCAGCTGCTCGTCTCGCGCCTGCGTCAGACGATCCCTGCCTGCTGCGCCGCGGTCCACTCGATCCTGGTGCAGAAGCAGGCCGAGCTGGCCGAGCTCCAGCAGCGCCAGGAGGACCGCTTCGATCCGGCCGCCACCCTGAGCGAGCTGGTGAGCGGCTTCATCGCCAGCTTCGACCGTCGTCGACCGGTCGTTGAACTCGACGGCCAGATCAAGCGGGCTGTCCTTGCGAGCGCGCCGCGCCTCCTGCCGTTCACCGAGGAAGAGGCGCGCGACGAGGCCAAGATCGGCGGGTACGTCGAGACGCCCTGGTCGTTTTGCAACGCCAAGGAGATGGCCGTACAAGTAGACGCGGGTGGAAGCGCTGCCGTCGGCGCCTCGAACCCTTTGAAGGCCATGTACCTCGACGAGGTGCGCCGCGACCTCGACTCGGCCGGACCGGACTTCCTCCACCGCCTCCTCAACCTGACGGGCGACTTTGAGGACCAGATCCGGCGCAGCTTTGTCGAGATCGCGTCCGACTGCTTCCGCAAGATCCGCACCGAGCTGTCTCACACGCTGTCGGACCACGTCGAGCGCGCCTTTGCCGGCCATGCCAAGCTGGGCGCCAAGGTGCACGACGTCGTGACGGCGAGCCTCAATGCGCACCTCAAGATCGAGGAGGGCCGCGTCAAGGCGTCGATCCACTGCAGCACCGCCTCCGACGACCTTGGCAAGGCCGACGCGTGGGCCGACGAGGAACTGGCGCGCTACAAAAAGGCGCGCCTCCACGCCAGCCTGGTCGGCGCTGGTCTGCGCCTCGAGGAGCTCAAGACCAAGGCCGACGGTTTGCTGCGGGCCCTCGCCGAGTTCGGGCTGAAACCGTGCCCCACCTTCCCTTCGTCGAGCATGGGTGCGGGCGCGATCGAGGACGGAGTGGGATCGCTGTGCGACGAGCCCGTCCGACCTGGCCGAGCACGGGCGACCCTGACGACGACGACGACGACGACGAGCAAGGGGGCACTGTACGCCTCGCTTTCGCAGCTCCTGCCCGACCACCCGGGCTACTTCTCCGCCGAGCTGCGCGCCATGGCGCTGCTTCGATCGCGCTACAACCTCCTCTCGACGAACCTGTACCACGAAATCTGCAAGGCGCGCAACAACGTGCTGGCCCAGGTGCACCAGGACCTCGTCAAGGGACTCGGCTGGGAGCTGTGCGGCGGAAAGTCGGCGGCCGAGCTGTGCGCCCTCTACTTTGCCAACGTCGATCGCGATCGGCGCGCCGCCGAGGCGGTGCGCGCTCGGCTCGAGGACGAGGTGCAGACGCTCGCCGAGATGAAGAAGGATCTCGTCGCTATCCAGGCTGGTCAGGTCGTGCCGGGCCGTGGGGCCAAGAGGCACAGGAGCGACGGCGATGAAGAGTCGGACGTGGGACCCGTCGAAGTGGCCGGGGCCGTCAAGAGGGCCGCTTCGTCGTTTTCATCGTCATTGTCGTCCGGCACCAAGTGAAAGGGCCCAACACGTTCCAAGGCTGACGCCGAGGCCCACGATACAGGAGCGACGCAAACACATATCCGGCGGTCCCCTTTCAAGAGACGGGCAGCTGCAAGCCCGCACCACCTCCGCCGCCGCCGCCGCCGCCGCCGTTGTCCGACTGCCGGTCGAGGGGCTGCAGCCTCTTGACCAGGTCCTGCGACTCGAGGTTGCCCGCGAGGAGGTATCGCAGCGTAAAGATGGCGTGCTCGCGCATGTCTGTCGAACGTCGGCGCGAGCCGGGAGAGGTAAGGTGAGGGCGTAGGATCGGTCTCGATGTCAGCACGAAGTCGACACGTGAGATGAGCGAGGCGGCCACAGCGACGACAACCACATCGGCCGCGACGGGGACAGCCACTTACAGGGATTCCGCTCGTCGAGCACCGTCATGTTCATGACGTCCCACAGCCCACCGGCTTCGCGCACGAGATCCTGCACCGCCCTGATCTGTCTGACCGTCTCGTTTCTCGCCGCCGCCGCTGCTGGATCCGAGGTCGCTTCCCCGCCCCCGGTACTGCTGCTTGCTGGAAAGGGCGAGTAGACGAGCGTGCCGAGCACGCGCACAATGTCGCGCTTGAGGTGGTCGAATCCGTACCGCTTCTCATCTTCGCCACCCGCGCTCGCCGCCGCTGATCCTGTCGAGGAGAGGACATGGCCTTCCGGTAATGGCATCGTCGTCGAGGTGGAGGTCGAGTTCGGCCCGTTGCCATCCGGGTTCAGAGTGGGCTTGAAGGGCGAGACGGGCGGGGCAAAGAGCGCCGTCTGGTGGAGCAGCGCTACGAGTTCTTCGACAAACTCGCGGTCCTCCCGCAGCGTCGAGAGGTAGGCGCACGATACGGCCTTGAGCCCCTTGTCGCTGGTGCTGTCCGGAGGCGCGGTAGTCGGCGCCGAGACGGACCAACCATCTGCAACGAGGCCGAGGGAGAGGAGGCATTGCAGGACGAGGAGCAGCACCTGGTGCACGCCCACGACGCGCTTATCCTGCCTGTCCCTGTCCTCGAGACCCTTTGCCATCGCCGTCCGAACAAAGCGCGAGAGGTGCAAGAAGAGGGCCACCAGCTCCTCCAACCCGCCCAGGTGCGAGGTCGAGGACGGCGAAAACGAGACGGCGTCTTCGTGTCCGGCGTCCGAAGCGGCGGCGGCGGCGATGCCAAAGTGGAGCCAGCTGTCGAGCAGCTTGAGCAGCGTCATCTGGCTGGCGTTGACCACGGGTCGGTCCATCGTCGCCGCTTCGGGGGCGTCCGAGCTGATAGTCTCGATCGGGGCAAGGCCTCGAAGCAGGTTGGACGCCATACCCTGGGCAAAGAGCAGCCGGAAGATCTCGTTGATCAGGCGCAGAGACTCTTCGAGCTGCTGGTGCGATGCCTGAGCCGCTGCAGTGGGGGCCGCGTTGCCGGCACCGGCACCGGCGGCGCTGGACGAAGGCGTTTTGAACTCGGCATCGTCGTCGTCGGGGTGCGTGGACGTCTGCAGGACGATGCTGTCGGCGAGGTTGAGGAGAGTTTCGACAATCTCGAGGCCCGCCGGATCAGTAGACAGGGCGAGGCAGCGGTCGTGAGAGAGCTGCGGGTCATTGGGCAGCTTGAGGAGATTGATGAGGAGGATCTGAGTGGCGAGCTGGGTGGGCGTGTCGGGCGAGGTGAGGAGGCGGTGGACGAGGCGCTTTTCGGGCGACGGCGAGGAGCTGGCGAGGACGGTTTCCTGCCAGACCTGCCGCTGCGTGTCCTGATTCGAGGTGATGAGGTTGGACAGGAGCTGTGCGCAGGTGCGCGAGAGCGGGATGAGGTCCGGGTCGGTGAGAGCAGTGAAAGCGGTGAGGTGGACGAAGATGGGTTGGAGCTGCGTCAGGTGGGCCGCGATGGCGAGCTGTGCGGGCGGACAGCGTGCCATTGCGTTTCTGCAGCATCTGAGGGCGAGGGTGAGGAGCTGTACATCGCGGTAGGCCGGGTCGTTGTGCTCCTTGTAGGACGAACCGTCGTCGCCGGCGTTGCTCTCTGCTCGCCTTTGCTCGACCGTCTTCGCCTGTGCACGCTCCGAGTTGGAGAGGAAGCTGGACCAGATCGACGTGCAGATGCGGACGAGATAGGCAAGCGGAGCAGAGGAGGGCGAACTGGCCAGGGCATCGCGGTAGCCTTGGTCGCGGGCGAGGTTCTGTACGAGGGTGGACAGGAGCGAGAGGAGGGGGTGGTAGGAGTCAAAGTCGTTTGTGGCCAGGTAGGCGTCGAGGCGGGGTGAGATGACCGTCTCGATGTCGATGCCGATGCCGATGCCGATGCCGCTATCGAGCTGCGAGGAGGCGCTGGTCGACATGGCGGGTAGGGCAGCTTGCAACAAGGAAAGGAGGCGGGTGATGGTGGTGGATCGGAGCCTCCCAGCCACCGAGGGTCCGAGGCCTGGCAGGAAGAAGTTAAGGCGCCTCGGGCGGGCCGCTCCCCTTGACTTTTGACTCCCGGGTCCCGAGGATCGTTGTGTAGGTGGAGGCCGGCTGGCTTAGCTTGGCTCATGCGTCGTTGGCCTTCCCCGCTTGGACCGCGCTTCCTTCTTCTTCCCGACCACTCCCCCCGCCTCCTCGTCCGCCCCCCCGGCCCTTTGCTCGCCATCGCGGCGCCCGCTCATCAAGATGCTCTCTCGCACAGCAAACCGCATAGCCCGCACAGATACCGTCGGCAGCCTCCTTGCAGCGCCACGCCCCCACCGCAGCTTCGCCTCGTCGTCCACCTCGTTCCCCACACGCCGCCAGCACCTCTTGTGGTGCGGCAATCTACTCGGATACACCTCCGACCGCCTCACAAAGCTGCCCCGCGCATGGATAGACAGCCTCGGCGTGGCCAGCGACGTAGATCAGGGCCTTCAGTGGACCCACATCTCCGCCTCGCCCACCCACACTCTGCTCGCCTACCGCCTGCTACCACCCCTAGCGCCTCCTCCCACGGCATCAGCTGGCCATGACGCCGAGGACGATCAACATGCCACAGAAGACGACTCTGCAATCATCTACGACGGCCCTCGGGAGACATCAGACTCGGCACCGCCCTCGAGCCTGCCGCACAAGGTGCTGGCCATGGGCAAAAACACCCACGCCCAGCTCGGCCTCGGCTTCGCTTCGCAGGAAGCAACCAGAGGGATGGTCACCGGCACATTCGACGGCAAGGGCGGCGTAAGGGCTGTATGCAGTGGTGGATGCGCAAGCTTCATCGTCACCCAATCAGGGTCCTCGGAAGAAGGCTCGAGCCTCTACGCCTTTGGCAGTGAGTTACGGTGCAGGCCATGCCCCTCCGATCGCGCACACACCCTTAGCCAACACAACACCCTGACACAACCAAAGCACACTCTCGCTTGCTTGCAGACCACACTCTCGGACAGCTCGGCCTAGGACCTGCATCATCACCGTCACACTCGGCCGATCCGTACGATGTCACCCCGCGCCAGGAGTCTGGAGACGCCCAGCTCGTGCTCCACCCGCTGCCACGACAGGTCGACCTCGACGCCTCGCTGGAAACAGGGCATGCTGCTGCTCAGGACGGCTGGAGGGTAGAACACATGGCGGCGGGCATGGATCACACCCTCCTCATACGCAGCCGTGAAGCCGAGCCAGGCCACCTCGAGCAGCAAGTCATGTCGACCGGCTGTGAGTCTTGTCTCGTCTCTTCATCCCGATCGTCATCGAAAAAAGCAGCCCAGGCCGCTGATTCCGAGAAATCTTCTTCTGCACTGTTCGCCTACAGTCAACACCGACGGTCAACTTGGCCTCTCCACGGGGCTGGATGTGCCGATATCGCCCCTGATCACCCGCACTTTCCACGTCGTCCCTTTGCCAGCGCTCGAAGCTGCCTCTGGTGACCGCTTCGTGTCCGTGGCGGCAGGTGCAGATACGTCGTTTGCGCTCAGCCAGTCCGGCCGCCTCTTCGCCTGGGGCAACTCCGAGTACGGCCAGGCCATGCTCGACTCGGGCGTCGAGGACCGCGTGCCCACTCCAGTAGAGGTGACCGGTGCCTTGAAGAGGGCCTGTGAGGAGGCAGGGCTCGAGCTGGACGGTGCCCGCATCAAGAAAGTTGTGGCGGGCGGCAGCTGGGCTGGTGTCCTGGACGGTGAGTGGCCGCACGGAGAGGAGACGCGGTCGCCGTTACGTTGCTGATGCGTTGCGCTGCGCTGCTTTTGCTGACGCGCTCGTACTCCATCGTCGTCGCCCTGCCGCACCTTGTCTCCCTCTGATCTCGTTCACAGACCGAGGCCGCGTGTGGACGGCAGGCTATGGACCTCTGGGTCTGGGAGCGGCCGAGGTCGATGAGTCCCTCGATCTTCCTCCGCCCCCGAAAGCGTCGGTCCATCTCTCCCGCGTCTCGGCCCTACCCCCGGGCATCACCGATATCCAGGCCGGCCTCGACTACGCTGTCGCCATCGGACCAACTGACAAGCAAGCGTCAGCGCAATCGTCGGCTCAGGATACGCAGGAACCACAGCTGCCGCGCATCTTTACGTGGGGTCTCGACACTGTGTCCGGCCGGCTAGGCTTAGGGCTCGGCACGACGAGCAGCCCATCGGACCGGCTGCGTTCGGATCCTTCGCGCAAGTCGGATCGCCCGTCGGGTATCGGCATGAGCACTGGTATGGATCGACGAAGGGGCAATGGAGGCGGCGCAGGCGACGAGGCGGCACCCCGGGTATACACGCCGGTCGAGGTGCCGCGGATCCGGCTGGGTCGGTCGCCAGAAGACGAATGGCTCGATGCCAATCCGGCCGAGCGCAAGAAGCGGAACGACAGAGAGGCCAAGAAGCGGAGCGGCGATCGCGATGGAGCCGCTGGCAAGGTGTCTGCCGCTGCCGCCGCCGTCGAGGATGCCAAGGTGTTGGAGGTGGCGTGTGGGTCCGAGGCCATGTTTGTCCTCATCGAAGACGGGCTCAACGAGGTGGGACGCTGGAACGAGTGCTACGGTCCACCGGACGCGGGCACCGACGTGGCCATGCAATCGTGACTCTGTAGAGAGGATGGGCGACTTGCCTTTTCTCCTTGTACCATGCTGTGACATCGTGCGCCCTCGCCGTCGCCGTCGCCGTCGTGGCGGTCGCCGTCGAGGTCAAAAGAAAGTCTGCCTGATGGCGGTTAGGGAGCGGTTTGATCAAGTCGCGGTCGTGTCGGCTTTTGCCCGGTCAATTTCCCGCCCGGTCGCGGAGATGTGTCTCGACGAAGGGGGGCCGCTCCACATGGGCGGGCCCCTTGACACCTGCTCTGCTGCTTGCCTCTTGACTTGCTTGCTGCACCTCCTCGCTGCTTCTTCTCCGTACTCTCACCTTGACCGAACCCGCCCCGGCACACCTTTCAAACGGGCTCCTGCTCCTCCATCTTTCGGCCATCGATTCGTGCCCGCGATGCTCGGCTGCTCGTCCGCTTTCGCCTCGATACGCGGGCCACTGGCCGGGCTGCGGCCATCGTTGGGCACGTCGTCGAGCCTGGTCGTGGCCCGTACAGCTGCACGCTCAGCGCCAATACGGCCCACTTGCCAGGTAGTTGAACGGCGCTGCTACTCGAGCGGAACCGACAAGGATCAGCAGACCGCCTCGATGGGCCCGCCAGAGTCTTACGTCTCGCTCTCGACGGACCCCTTCTTCAACCTGGCGTTCGAGGACCACCTCTTCCGCACGCGACCACCACAGACGCCCGTCTGCCTCATCTACCGCAACTCTCCCTGCGTCGTCGTCGGGCGAAATCAGAACCCGTGGAAGGAGCTCAACGCCGCGGCGATGCGCGATGCCGCCATCCCCCTCGTACGGCGCCAGAGCGGCGGCGGCACCGTCTACCACGATCTCGGCAACACCAACTACAGCTTCCACACGCCGCGCGAGAGCTTCGACCGGCGCACCCACGCCGAGCTCATGGTGCGCGCGCTCAACTCGGAGCCCGTTTCGCTCGTCTCGTCGACGTCGCGGGTGGCCAGCAACCGCGGCGCCTACGTCAACGGCAGAGGCGACATCTGCATCTCGGTGCGGCCCTCGTTCCCAGTCCCACCCTCGACGGGCAGCGACGCTGCGACCGAGTGGGAAGAGCGCAAGATTTCGGGATCGGCGTACAAGCTGGTCAATACGCGGGCGTACCACCACGGCACGATGCTCCTCTCGGCCTCGCTCTCGTCGCTGGGCTCGTCGCTGCACAACTTGCGCGGCGACGCGCTCGTGACCAAGGGCGTCGCTTCGGTGCGGGCCAAGGTGGCCAACCTGACCGACGCCTTCCCGGACCGTGCCAGTGTGCTCGACCACGATACCGTGGCGCGCTCGGCCGTGGCCGAGTTCTGGCAGACGTACGCCGGCAAGCGTGGAGAGACGGACCTGGTCGACGAGCGGCTGCTCGACGCGCCCGAGCTCAACGAGGGACGGTGGAAGCTGCGCGAGTCCTACGACGAGCTGCGAAGCTGGGGTTGGGTGTGGGGCCAGACGCCCGAGTTTACCCATCGAGTCGCCTTCGACGGCAGCAGCAGCGGGGCGGCGGCGGCGACGAGCGGGCTGCGCTTCCAGCTCGAGGTGCACAGCAAGAACGGCATCATCCTAGACGCCAAGGTCGAGCAGCTCGAGGCGCGGTCAGACGAGGCGGGCCGCGAGGCGCGCAAGACGATAGAGGCGCTGCGCGGGCAGCGGTACGACGAGTATGCCGTCACGCCGCCGTGGGCGCAGGATCCCGAGGGGCGATCGCAGTCGAGGCTCGTGCCGTCCAGCGAGGTCGAAGCCGACATCTTCCGGTGGCTGCGAAAGGTGCTCTAAGGGGGCAGGGAGGGAGAGGGTCAAGAGCCATCAGCCGCAGCAGGTCGGCCAGGCTCAGCAGTGCTATCGTCGGTTCGCAGGGCTGGCCTCTTCGAGAGCGGACGAGTGCCCCCGATGGGCCGCAACCCGATGTCGCACCACATACGTACAGCTCGCCCCGAGATCTGGCCATAACGTCGGCAATCCAGGATGCAAGCGGGCGCCGCGGTTGTTGCAACGCCAGCCTCGTCGGTTGTGGGGGCCACGCAGCGCCGACAACGGGGGCCCAGGACCGATGGCCAACAAGCTAGAGCAATAAGCCAAGCCATCCCCAGCTGGGCTCCGCTCGTCGAACTGAAGTTAAGCTGCGAGCAAGGCCCTCGATGGCATGCATCTTTGTCCGTCAGTACTGCGCTCCAGACAGCGATAGAGATGATGTCGACTACCGCTGGCTCCTTGATGGTCGGGGGATGGGCAGCATGCTGGGCCCGAAGGTTGCGCCCTACCCTCGAAATGCCAAACTTCCTGCAGGGGCTGGGTGGTCGGGTCGCTCCACGCGCCTTGAGACGGGAAGCCCAAGGCGGGCCAAGGGCAGGCAGGCAGGCAGGCAGGCAGGCCGGCTGATGGTCGCGCACCGAAAATTCAAACAAAGCTCGGCGTGGCCAGGCCTGGCCGCGGCCCCTGCCTCGCCAGGCCG